TTAATTAAAAACTAATGCTTGTGAAATGAAGCAGGTAATCACAAAATCCCCTTTTAAAGTAATTAAAACAGATCCTTACCTGTTACAATCAGCTTGGTTCCTTGGCCGAATACCACAGTGATTCAGTTTGTATACATGGCCGTACAAAAACCTCCTGATTGTCTCTGATCAGGGAGTTGAACTGAAACCTCCTGCTGAGACCAACTTTTACTGAAAACATCTCATCTCTCTTCATCTGTTTGCTTTTATTACAAAACACACAAAATTCTCTTTAGACATATTTAAAGTACAATTTATTTTCTTTATTATTAACTGTGTTTTGTGAACTGTTGAATGTTCATGCATTTTATTAGTTTTAGAGCTTAAATCTTGTGTTGGTTTTTGTCACACTGTGAATCACTGTGATACAGCTTCATCTGCAGAGTCATCCCGTGTCTGACAGAAATAAAGAGCAGAGTCTCCTGCCTCTGCCTGCTTAATAATAAACTCATAATCTATGTTTGAGGTGGATTTAGAGTTGAATCGGTCTGAAGAAAATCCTGTTCCAAAGTAAAGTGAACTACTGAAGTGATAAAAACTCAGAGCATACTGAGGAACTCCACCAGGAACTTGTTTGTACCAGTTGACAAAGTTTCCATCATATCTCTGAATGTTGCATTTTAAAACAACTTGTTGTCCTGTTGAAACTGTCTCAACAGGAGGTATCTGGGTCAGTGTTATCGCTGCATCAACATCTGGCAAAAGAAGCAGGGAAAAGCATGAGTAAAAGGTTTGTATGTGAAAATGTCATCTTAAGGTCTCTGAGAAGAATCTTACATGTTAGAGCAGTGATGAGACTGCATAGGATCCCCAGCATGATGTCAGTTTGTGGTGTAAAGGTTTGGTTCTGTCCAGCTGAAAGTTGAACTGAAGAGAGGAGAGAATCAGAGGCTTATAAAGACACTGAGGAGAGGAGAATTGAGGGAGGAGGAGATTCATTAGACTAATATCTGAAATTTGATTGTTAAACTGTCGTAGTAACTGTGAAACAGAAATAAAGTTTCCTATTTATTGTAAGCATGGTACTTGTTCTATCAACCAATATGAAGCTCTCTTTGCTTTTTTATAAGAAAAAAACTAAACAAAATACTTAATGAATAATGTATTTTTGTATTAAATCTTCCTGAAATAAGATTTTTGGGGGATTTTTAAAAACATCGTTCTGCAGATGTAATATTTCAGCAGTGTTGGAAAAAGATTTAATTAGTGCTTATGACAAAATTCTGTAAATGTGAGCTGTCTTTATTTTCACAGAGTTAGATGAAGGCAAAAAAAAAAAAAAGATTTCGGCGCACTTCTCTTTCTGGAAGATTTGACTTTAAGACAAAAAGAAAAGTACAGGGAATTTTCTGAAATGAACAAATATATAAGTAAACAACACAACTGTAGGGAAGACAGGTATGTAATCCTTTACACTCAACTCACTGACCGGGAATAATCAATTATTCCACATATTAATTTTGAACTACTTTGACCTTTTAAATAAACATTTAACACCTATTAAAAGATTAGATTGAATTTCATAAAAATGTTTTATAAATTAAAAATGTAAATACAAATATTTCATTTGTTTCTTTTCAAAATACATAAATATGGAAATAGAAAATTAACAAAAAGCCAGAAAAACGGATAATTGGGACTGCCTCTACTCTTCAATTTATAAAAAAAATAAGAGCATTTAAATTATTACTGAAACTTCTGCTCCCTTTTTTAACAGTGGTATTCTTTATAAGTCTTAGTCTCTCTTCTTTCACTGGAAAACGTTTGTTATAAACGTTTTTCAATGATTTACATAATTAATGAATCTCCTCCTTCCTTTTTTAAATATTTACTTTGTAGCTTATAATGTTTAAGATATATCAATAGATCATGTTAAAAAGTCTGTGATGATCATTGTAGTTCTTGAAATGTTGCTTTTATTGCAGAAATATTTATTAAGAGAACTTACAAAAGTCTCAACTCAAAGAAACCTTAGAAAGTATTATACTTAGAAGATGATTAAAACATATTTGCTCCTATAAAGGTTATATAGTATCAATATTCTCTATAAATCTAAAAGATTGCCTAAAAGTAGTTCAAAACCCCCTAAATGTCATGATGGGTTCACTGAAAGCGACCCAAGAATGCAGAACACCACTGACGGACACAAGGATGAAAGTTTAACAGTTTTATTTTGCACAAGCACACTGAATATTCTGGTTCAGGTTCGGGGCCTGGATTCTGGTTCACCGGAGTCTGCGTGAGAGACAGTTCAGTTAGCGTAGCCAACAGAAGTTTGATTTCCAGAAGTCTACTGATTGTACCTTGAGGGTTCTTGAGGTTAGCTTTGGGAGAGTCACTGTTGGTTCTGGAGAAGAGTTCATCAGCAGAGTCCGTAGCTGCTTCAGCGTCTCACGTCTACTTAGAACAGACCTTGGCTTAGGGTTTCCCAGCTCTAGTCCAGAGCTGCTTGGAGGTTCTCTGTGAATCTTCAGGTTTGGCTCAGAGGGTCAGCTCGGGAGGTTAGCTCTTCCAGAGCTTTCACAGAGGAGGCACAGGTTTCCTGGAAAACAGACACAGGGGTTAGAATCCAAGCTGGATTCAAAAGTCATAGAATTACTCTGAGGATCTAGGCTTAAGCGCTGACCAACTGGAACAACACTGCGGCGTTGAGGCAAGGTCTGAAGACAGCTTAAGTAGTGGATCCTCTGATGATCTTGACGAGCTGCAGCTGTGCAGGAGGCTCCCTCAGAGGATCCACGGCAGACTCTGCTGGAGAAAGGTGGAATTTCTCCAGCTCCCAACACTAAATTCATTAAAATGTGTAACTGTAGAACACCTAAACAAATATAAGCCAATTCCTCTGAAAACTATCAGAGAAAAAGCAGAAGTGTTTGTGTCGAGGTTTTTGTCACAGCGTAAATCACTGTGATACCCACTCATCAACAGAGCTGTCCCATGTTTTACAGTAATAAACTACAGAGTCTCCTTCTTCTATGTTGTTGATGATCAAACGATAATCTGATGTTGATTGATGAGTGGAAGTGTGTCTTGCAGAAGGGAACCCAGTGTCATAGCTGGGTGAACTAAAGCTATGATGAAACCTCAGCATATAGAGAGGAACTCCTCCTGGGATCTGCCTGTACCAACGAGCTTCGCTGTTAGTAACAGTCCCCAGGTTACAGTCCATGGTTGCTGTCTCTCCTTTCCTCACCGTCAGAACTGAAGGCTTCTGTGTCACCACTGTCACACCACTCACACCTGGAAACAACAAGAAGATATAAATTTTAGAGAAACACAGACTGATGAATCCAACAGGAGCTCCAGTTTGCAGTAAGTCATCCTGCTTACATGTTAGAGCTGTGATGAGAGAGCAGAGGGTCCCCAGCATGTTTTCAGTTTGTGCTGAGAATGATCTTGGATTTTCTAAGGGTGACCTCACTGCTGACAGATGGTAGAGTTTAGAGGATGAGGAGAGGAGGTGGAGGAGATATTTATCAGAAGAAGGAGGAGGAGCTCTGATACTTTATGGAGTGAGGCATTTCTTTGACCAAATATGTTTTCAGATAAACTTTTTTAAAATGTAGTAAACACATCTTTTATTGTAAATTTTTTTTTTTTTATCATATAATATTTATCTCATCATATTTATCATATTATATTTATCATAATCTGATCAATTATAACGGTTGCAGACTTGCAGTCCCTCATTGTAAGAGGTGCTCTATCTTTTATACATTAACTGAGGGCTACAAACTGCTTCATTTTGATTATATCATTGTTTTTTTCACATGTTACCCTTTAGCTGAGAAAAAATTTGATAAAATTAATATTTCTACTATTTTTATATAAAGTCATTTATTTAATCTATGTTTTATGTAAACTGAGAAACAAATGAAAATCTTGGATGCTCTTGCTTAATGCCTAAATAAGGTCATAATTTTATCTTTATATAAAAAAAAAGATAACCCCTTATTAAAAGTTCAAAGAATCATAATACAAAAGCATATGACACGAAAGGACAGGAAGTATTTTGTATTATTTTTCTTGCTGCTTGACTTGAGTTTCTTTAAAGACATGTTTTATAGTAAAAAACTAAACAAAACAAGATCTCCTTGTTTTCTCTGCTCATATTCTTTATTGGAAAAGGTTGTTTACTTTTATAATACAATTCACAATGAAGAAATTTCAAAACTGCTTTAACATGAACGAAACAGAATAATAGAAGGAACATAAAATCTGAATTAAAGTAATAACATAGTTTAAAGTCTATTTTCTGACATACAGGGAGCCACTCTAAGGACATCCAAACAGGAACTGAAACCTGCTGAGACCAACTTTCACTGAAAAATCTTATTTTTTCAACTTTTTGCTTTGGAGTGGCGAAAACTCAGAACACATTGAGGAACTCCACCAGGAACTTGTTTGTACCATCTGACATAGTTTCGATCGTCTCTCTGAATGTTGCATTTTAAAACAACTTGTTTTCCTGTTGAAACGGTCTTGACAGGAGGTATCTGGATCAATCTTTTCGCTGCATCAACATCTGGCAATATCTGCATCAACATCTGGCAACACAAGCAGGGAAAAGTATGAGTAAAAGGTTTGCATGTGAAAATGTCATCTTAAGGTCCCTGAGGAGAATCTTACATGTTAGAGCAGTAATGAGACTGCAGAGGATCCCCAGCATGATGTCAGTTTGTGGTGTAAAGGTTTGGTTCTGTCCAGCTGAAAGTTGAACTGAAGAGAGGAGAGAACCAGAGGCGTATAAAGACACTGAGGAGAGAGGAATTGAGGGAGGAGGAGATTCATTAGACTAATATCTGAGATTTGATTGTTAAACTGTTGTAGTAACTGTGAAACAAAAATGAATTTTCCTATTTATTTTAAGCATGGCACTTGCTGTATCACCCAATATGAAGTTTGCTTTTTTTTTGTAAGAAAAGAACAAAACCAAATACTTTTGCAAAGGGATAATGTATTTTTGTAATAAATGTCGGTGACATAAGATTTTAGGTTCTTTTTATATCTTTCTGCAGATTTAACATTTCAGCAGTGTTGGAAAAAGATCTAATTAGTACTGAGGACATGATTCTGTAAAATCTGAGCTCTTGCATTTCTTCACATTTGTCAATGTGGAAGATTTCACTTTTAGCTTCTAACATTAAAACTGAAAAAAAAAAAAAAGGAATATGTCTGGTTTTGTGTCAAACTAGACTTCTTCAATATTTTACATGGATCAAATTACTTATTTGAAATAGCTTTGATATAAGGTTAATCTTTGATTTTAGTCCCTTTGATCATTTTCAGGATTAAGGGTCTATTTGGTCAATCTCAGTTTTCTGTGGTTTGGGTGGAAGTACAACCTGGACAGGCCACCAGTTCCAGTCAGGATAAGAATACAGAATAAGAAAAGCACTAATTATCACTACAGATTAAATTTAGAAACATCATTGAAGCAGACAAGCTTTGTAATGAGAATCAGATATATTTACATGTTACCTTAGAACTCACTACAGTTTATGAAATTTGTATTTTTAAATTTAAATTTCAAGTAAGTTTTTTTTCTTATTCATATGGCAAAATGTTCCTTAAAAAAAAAAGAAAGTAAAGCTAATGCTGTGATCTATTTGAAATCCTATGGATAGAGTATATTAATGGACAAAAACGGTTTTTATTCTTGAATGCAAAATATTTGCATATTCGTTACAAAAAACTGCTTTGAGTGAGTAGCTTTTTCAGCTAATGCAAGTTTTAGAATCTCAAGTTAATAATTAATTAATGACTAAATCAGCTGCCAATTATTTCGATAATAGATTAATAATTATGAAGCTGATTAATTGTTTCAGCCCTAGTCAGAATGGTGAGTCTGTAAGCAGACTTTTAACAAAGTGCCTGAACATGTTTTTTTTGTTTTAAACATTTTCCATTATAATCAGAAGTGCCAGATAAAACTGATAATATAGGATCTGCTGCAAAGCAAGGAGCATAGGATACCTCCAAACCTGTTCTGATATTTACTTGAATAAGGTCAACATTTATTTATATTGGATAGCAATGAGTTTAAAATGGGTACATTCTCATTGATTTCTTATAAAAGAAGGTGGTCTATCAATTCCTCACCCTGCTAAAAATGTTAAATTGGTATAATGATGAAAAATTGGCTTAAAGTTACAGCCTTGTAGGAGGGCCAATAATGTAACAGTGTAACCATACTAGTCAAGATAGATGCTTCAATTGAGCAATAAGTAATTGACTCCATTTTTCATGTTTTCAATAAGCTGATTATATGTCAAACATTTCAACAACTGGCTGCTGTGAGAGCTTCCTTTGTTCTATCCTGTTCTTGCTCATTTCTCCCTCTCAAATCAGACTCTATCCTCTCCTTTCCAGACTGATTAACATGCATACAGAAAAAGTTAGTGTAGCTGGTCAACATGAAACAGAATACCACAGTTTCTCATTAAGTCTTTCAATATATCTGCCATAGTTTCTAATCAATAACATAAAAAACTTACATATATTTAACTACAACTTTACTGGGAAACAAGTTCTATTTATGAACTGAACTAAACCAGACCTACAGTAAATAGGTATGTTCTACATTCAGAAATAAGACCTAATCATATGCTTCAAAATAAGACCCACTTATTTTACAGAGCAGATTGTCACAGCATTGGCCTCAGCCCTATGGCCTGTGAAAGATGAAGGAAGGAGAGCTATAGGAACAGGAGCTAGAAGCTACAGCAATTAGCCTAAAGCTGGTTTGATAAAATTCCTAGCCACTAACAGGAAGAAAACAGCACTGTGTCAAGAGGTGGGGTTTTATTAACAGTAGCTGATAACAGACAATATACTTTCTTTGGTTGGTTCCACACCTCAAAGTGACAAAAGATTACATTAGTGTGCAGAAGCAGAAGTTAAGAACTTATGTGAAATTGTGATATTTTTAAATGCCCAACCAAAGAACCAAAGGAGATCTTGAATAATTTGAATCGTGGTCAAATTAGCTTTTAGAATTAGCTTTTAATTTAGAGCAACTGGAACATGTTTAAACCGATTCATAACACAAATATTAGGTAAATAAAACATTGTTTTGTAAATTAATGTTTCACAAAATGATCTGCTCAATAAAAAAAGAATAACCTTTAACTGATTCCTAACCTTCTTTGATTGAGCTAGCAGCTAGCAGACATCCAGCAATTTGGTTCTGCAGTTAGCCACCAGGTGTCTCAGTGGTTGATTAGTCTGCAGATTCTGGTCCTTGGCTTCTGGTTTTCCATGATGGTGCCTCTTTGATGTGGCTGGCCCAAGATCAGCCCTGAGAGAGACAGAGTTTGCTACTAATGATGGATGGATGGATGGATGGATGGATGGATGGATGGATGGATGGATGGATGGATGGATGGATGGATGGATGGATGGATGGATGATCATGTTAAAGAGTCTACATGATAATCATTCTAGTTCTTTAAGTAAAAGACTTATCAAGAGAATGTACAAAAGTCTCAACTCATATAGAAACCCCAGAAAGTATTATACCTAAAATGGGATTAAAGCACATTTGCTCCTCTTAAGGTTATGCAGTATATACAACCTCTAAAAATCTAAAAGATTTCTTAAAAATTGTTCAAAATCCCCCAAATACATTAAAATATGAAACAGTAGAAGACCTAAATAATAAAAGCGAAATCCTCTGAGAACTATCAGTGAAAAAGCAGAAGTGTTTGTGTCGAGGTTTTTGTCACGGCATAAATCACTGTGATACGAACTCCTCAACAGAGTCATCCAATGTTTGACAGTAATAAACTGCAGAGTCTCCTTCTTCTATGTTGTTGATGATCAAACGATAATCTGTTGTTGACTGATGAGTGGAAGTGTGTCTTGCAGAAGGGAACCCAGTGTCATATTTGGGTGAACTCCAGCTATGATAAAACCTCAGCATATAGAGAGGAACTCCTCCTGGGATCTGTCTGTACCACCGAGCAGCACTGTTAGTAACAGTCCCCAGGTTACAGTCCATGGTGGCTGTCTGTCCTTTCCTCACCGTCAGAACTGAGGGCTTCTGTGTCACCACAGTCACACCACTCACACCTGGAAACAACAAGAAGGCATAAAATGAAGAGAAACCCACAGACTGATGAATCCAACAGGAGCTCCAGTCTGCAGTAAGTCATCCTGCTTACATGTTAGAGCTGTGATGAGAGAGCAGAGCGTCCCCAGCATGTT